GTTTCTGAAAAACTGTTTTTCCAGAAAACCAGGTCTTCAAGAGTCAAGGGGATGAATCCTTTTAGAGTTTTTATCTACACTATGAGTCCTACCTATGAGCAGAATATGAGCTCAAACAGAGGGTATCAGTTGGTGAGGTTCCCTCGTGAGTGAAATAGAATCGCTTCCTTAAGAGATTTCTTAGCTAGCCAATAGCCATTGGTTGTTTGGTCAAAATGGGTGTGAAGAGCTGCTATTTTTATAATAAGCGTTTTATAATAGGAGAAGTTTACTGTAATCAAAATCATGACGTAGCGGTTCAAAGTATTTTTACGCAAATTGGTTTTCCTATGGATGGAGATGTGCACGAATAATGGTCTGCTTTCATAACTTTTTTTCATCGCATTTTTTTTACGACTGATTACCATAACGGCGTCCAAAGAGACTCTACTCGTCGTCTTTCAAGAAAGCGTCTCATAATGATTCTTTTTAAGAGAATAAAGAAGAAAATAAAAGTCTCGTCAAAATATATAATTACTGAAAATTTCAGCTCGTCGCGCGATATCTCAAATCTAGTAATCGCCTCCATCTGCTAGCTAAGAAAGTCATATGTTGTGTTAGTCAGTCCACTGACTATGGAAATATGTGGAAAATGAACACTAAAGAATAGAAACACTAAAGAGACAAAATTTGTCGGTTGATTTATAATGGCTACAACACTGTTCACCGTGAACAATCATCAGCATATAGTAAGAACCAAATAAAAAATGTGCTCGCCAAAACTCAGTGGTAATAAACACACGTGTATTCACAGCTCTTGAATTTTGGCTTGCATCGTTTTTCATTTAGTGCCTACTGGTAGAGTTGGACGAATAATTTTTCGACACACAGTACGTGCCATTTTGTAGCTCTCTTCATTCACAAATCAGATGACATCTCGGTTCTAAGTCCTACATGACATGATGCGTTATCAAAAAACATTTAGGATAAAAGTTTTTCGGAAATAAATATTCCTACTTTCCTTTTTACTATACATCTCCATAAGTAAACTTTCTTTTATCTCTCTTTTATTGCATGAAACTCAAAAGCAAGAATTTCAGTGTTTCAATTTGTTCTGTGATCAGTAGCTTGACTAGTCAGACAGGTGTACTGTTGATGGTGGTAATTTAGCAATGTAATTTGTTACTAATCTTGCGATGTTGTGTGAGTTTATCATAGTTTTGTTTACTTTTTAAAAGATGGTAACAAATGACCACACAACAAAGGTCGAAAGTAGCCCTACTTTTTTTCCTATTTTATTTCTCTTTCTTCTCTCTTTTCTATGACTGTAATTAAGAAGAATACACGTGACATAGATACTTCTTCATTTTCTTTTGCATACCACATATTCCAAAGGCAAGAAGGATAAATATGTAATAGTCATTCGTTAAGGAAGCAAATATTAGAAAAAGAAAACTCTACACGATATGTTACACCGTGTTTCTCCTACTAAACAGAAACGTTCTATAACTCGGGAAGAGAGATTGATAGAAGTGTGAAACTTTCGGGGTATATCGAGAATTCATAACACTACCATCGAAAGCAATTTCAGCTCTGTATGAATTTCCTGGATGGAGTTCATGAATTTTTCTTTTTATGCTAGTTTTCGCTGGGAAAATCAGAAAACTGTTCATAACTCTCAAAGGAAAAGCCATTGGCCGAAATTCTTCTAGGCTTTTTACCTACTCGAAGTCCTCTATCGAATGATGTATGAACGAACGAAATCGGAGTGAGGCACCTGGGAATGTTTCCTCCTAAGCAACGAAAAAAATAAAAAGTTTATCTAACAAATATGAAGAAGCTCATTCTTTATGAGCCACACATTATCTCTACAGTATTCAGCCTGCTTTAATTTTACTAATATTGATGATTCAAAGTTTCGTAGTACCAGCCTGCCTGAAGTATAAAGAACAAACATTGTAATGCTTTTACTCACCGTAATATATTTGGTTTTGATTATAAAAAAAAGGTTTGCTGTGAAATATTTCTTCTAACGACAAAATGACATGACAAAGGAAAGAAGAGAATATTATTCATGCTTTACTTGGTTTTTTGCATATTTTTTCCTTCTATAGAACATACCGAAAAGGTACCTGTTTCATGCGTCATTGTAAATATTGCGTGACCATAAAAATAAAAGTATTCTCTGAATTATAACTTCCCAATAATGTATTTAATACCCGCTGCCCAACCAGCTGAAGCGCTGCAGCGCTCAATTTAGCGGCTGCTGCAACTAGTCAGACTAGTTTCTGTAACGTAGTCATTAGCCGCTTTGTACAAAAAACCACTCCACTAGTACTACGCTGCAAAATCAAAGAATAATAGACGAAATTTTCTTTTATCTAAAATGAATGTATGTATGCCTTTGGTCGAAAACTCAAAACATCGAAAGTGAAAACGCAAAATGTATAAGAATAAAAGCGGACTCGTATCTCCAAAATATTTCTCGTTCATAATTCTGCCGATAGATCTGCAAATCTTTTGTGCACACGGTCATTTTTTTTAGCGGGTTTGTCTCGTTGCAACCAGCTGCACCCGCTAAATTTTACTCTTTTAGCTTATGAATATTTTCACAATGTTTTCTAATTCTTTCATCTATAGTTTTTCCAATTGGACTAAAATATATTTGTTTATATATTGTTGTATTTGAGCATGCACTGTGACGCATTTAAAAGGTACAAGTTCATTCACTGAATTGTTTCGCAGATGCGCCATATTGAGTCGGTTGATAAAAAATCTTATGCCTTTCTCGAATCATTTCACGAGTACCTCTCCTCCTTTAGCGGGGATACGTCGAGTCGTGATGTTACTTTTCGAAGAGAAATCCATCGCTATACCGCCGCTCGCTTTGGTGCTCTAATGAGTGTTATTGCCAATCCAACTGCACATCAATCAAATATCAAGCACAATCATTTCGACAAGTTCTCTCGTGAGTATGAGCGTACTGTCTAACCCATATTCCACTGATAGGGGCTCCCGAGTGGAAGAGAACCAGCTTTTACAGTAGTAATTTAGAATTCGGTGAAATCAGCAAACTTAGTGAAAACATTAATTTATTTCTTAAATATCACACAAAAAACAAACAAAACACTCATGACGATTATGGTGATGATGATGATGATTGACTCGTTTCAGCCATCTCTATTTTCTTGTCAATATTACTGATGTCTTTGTACATATTGACTTGTGCAAACTCTTGTGCTCTTCCGTACAACTTTTTTGTCCATGCAAAACAGTTTTGAGCCTTAAAAGTCTCGTTATTTTGTATATGTGTGTCCCCTTTGCTTTCCAAACATTTGCCAACATTTTTTGTCAAATGAAAAAGCAAATCATCATGATGAATTAATAAATCTGACAGGATTATTTCGCAGAAATCGACAGCCCATTTGTAATGTCTATCTTGGTTAAAGCAAAATATAAAAACGCCCTCGATTTGCGGAAAATGAGCAATTCTCGGCACAATTGAACTTCCGAGTGAACCTGACGTAATTAAAAATATTTTTTTATTGGGATTAGTCTCTATAAATTTGAAGCAATCTTCTGAGTCTTTAAATAATATCAGATTATAAACACTTTGCTTCAATTGAGTAATATATTTTTCATCTTCCATAATAGGTATATCGATCTCAGTTTCATTATATTGAGGATGATCTTTTGTGGGTAGTATCGTTTCTAACGGCTGTATCAATTTATGAAATAAATTCTTAAATTCGATATGATTTTTCGGGTCACCAATGTCAGCATCAAGCCAAACAGTCTGGTGGTTAGAGAAGTTGCCGATAGCTCGTTCATCTACTGGAGTAGCAGTACCCATCTTTCAAAACAAAAACGCTCACGGTCACTAAAATGAACACATGGGAAAATTTCTTACTAGAAAATTGCGCTTGTAATTGTTTTACTACTTACTTAGAGCAAAACAATAAGAAGAAAATATCAGCAATGATGCTCTTTATAACTCGACCACTTCCTAGTCCTTTTTTTCTTTTGTACTGCATGAGTTATGCTGGAAAAAACCTCAAAAAGAAAAGCAGAGCGCGTTGTATAACTTGGAAGAAACCAACAGAGAAAGAAAAAGGTAAAAAGGCAAACGTATTCCTACTTGAACTGTTGTTTATTACTTCATCAATATTGAAAAGCAAACGCTGAGAAGAGAGAACAGAAAAGGAAAAAAAATGATCGTTGACGATCTTGTTCCAGTTCATGTGTTCGTCAACAGAATCAGTCCAAACAAGCGTCGATTAAACCACCCACGCCATCTGTTTTTATAGAAAACCGTCCGTTAACCGCGATTCTTCAAATAACCGCCAATACACCGCGGTTTGTTATAAGCCGTCAATTAATCGCGGTTCATGGAAAAAATGTAGTTTCGAGCTTAATTTTATGGGTGCGGTATGTGTTCATGGGTTTGTTAGAAGGAGATCGCAGGATCGTAGCTGTTATCGCTACAGATCTTGGTGTTCTATCAAGTAGAAAAAGTGGAGTAAGGCCTCTGAATATTTTAAATAATAATAAAATTTTGTGTATCGCGAAAAGATGTTCAAGTGATAGCCATCCCGGTATGTTGAAGACTTTATCTCATGGGGTGAGTCGCACAGCATCAGTAACAGTCAGTGCAGCATCGTACTGTAGTTTTGCAATTGGTTTTAAATAAGCTAATACAGTCGGCAAAGGAGTATATCTAGTCTGAATCTCTCTCGCACATGCATAGATTACATCTGCATAACTTAACACTGACCAAATATACGACTTGTACATCTGCTCGAGTGTGGTCGTATTCAAAGTATTTTTGAAACAGCGCATTAGGTATAATGTACATTTACATTTTTTTGCAATCTCGTATACATGCAAAGACTAGTCTAGCTTTGATGTTAAGCGCAAACCCAGATGTTTATGCCGATCGACCTAGCGGATAACATTTCCATTCAATAACAACACCTGAGGACGTGCAGAAACTTGCCGAAAAACATAGCCACACACTTTTGTAAATTCAAGGGTAACTGCCAAAATTTGGTCCACTCTAAAACGTCTTTTAAATCTTGATTTAAAATATTTTCACTTATAAAAATATTGTCCGAGCTATGATACATTGCTGTATCGTCCGCAAAAAAAAGAACGTTTCGACTGTTTATATCATAAATATGGTCGATGAATGTTAAAAATAAAAATGATCCTAAAATCGAGCCTTGAGGGACACCATGGTTTATAACAAGAGGCGGAGAAAATTGTCCATTTACTAGCGTAATGCATTTTCGAGCAGTTAGATAATTCTGAAACCATTTTGAGAGTTTGGAACGCACGCCTTTTTGTTTTACTTGTATAAAAGTCCTTTATGCCAAACTTTATCGAACACCTTTGCAAAATCAAGGAACACGGCTGTTGTAAATTTATCAGAATCTAAATTTTCTCCTATTTCATGCACCAAATCAACCAACTGATTTGTCGTAGAATCATCCTGAATAAAACCTGATTGTAAGTGTGTTAGGAGATCATGTTTTTTTAGATGTCCATATAGCTTATTATAAATCAATCTTTTCACAATTTTAGACATAGAGGGAAGAAGTGTAATAGGTCTGTAATTTGTCGGTAAAGTTGTATCTCTACCTTTAAATAGTGAATGTATCAATCCAATTTTCCATTTTTCCGGAAAAACTCCTGACGAAAGAGAATAATTACAAATGTGTTTCAAGTCTTCAGCAATAACTGGCCCCGTTTCTTTTAAAATTTTTGAACTTCTGCCCTGACTAGTGGCTTTACTAACGTCAATCGCTTTTAAGCATTTTTCAACTTCATTAGTGGTTACCGTAAGATCTAATGTAGTAGTTGAGAGATTGAGCTTATCAAATGGAATGAATATCTTTGTCATAATCGCCCGTAGTCATAGTACATATGGAAACAAAATGTTCATTTAGAACATATGCTTTGATTCTGTCGTCGGACCATTCTTGATTATTTTGATCTCTTAATTTAGAAATTTTCGAAGAGCGAGACCGTCGAAATAATGTTTTGACTAATTCCAGCATGATTTTTGGACGCATTAGTTTGACGTATTTTTTCTAGATAATTTTCTTTTTCAACTTCACATGCTTTTTCAAATTCGATAGCTACTTTTAAATACTTCGCTTTGGAAGAAGCTAAGAAATTAGTTCGTTTTTGCCTTCTATATAAGCGTTTTTTCTGTCAAGAAAGTTGTCTTAACTTTTGAGTAAACCACGGCTGATCTAATGAAAACATACGAACTATTTTTGAAGGAACACATTTATCTGCTGCATCCATTACACAATTTTCTAATACTATTACTTTCTCATTCACACAAGTTGAATTGTAGAAGAGAATTGCAACAGTATTAAGCAGTTTTACTAATTCATGACGAAAATAGTTCCAGTCAGTAGCAGAGTAGTTATAAATTTTACGTGTCAATGATGGCGATCGAGTGGTATCAGTTGCAAGCACAACTCTTACAATCTTATGGTCACAATTTTCGCACAAAACGTCCTCAACTTCTACGTTTTTTATGAAGGTAGTGGAACTAGAGAATACCAAGTCAAGCACTGTTTTTGTTATGCTAACTTTCCATCCTTGCTAACTTTCGTAGGTTCTTTGACTAATTGTTTGAAATTGAAAGTCTCAGAAAAATCACAAAACTTTTTGGCAGCTTGTGTTTCTGGATGCGAATTGCATCAGAGATCACTATGTGCATTGAAATCCTCTACCAAAATTACACCATCAAAGGATACCGTTTTGATTACATCACAGATAGTATCGTTCAAAAATTCTATATATTCTTCAGTTTCTGCATTTGAAAGACCCGATGATCGATAATTCACTGCAAAGAAAATCTTTCATATTTTAGGAAGTAAAATTTCGAAAACAGAATTTCAAAACTAATGTTTTCAATAGCCGAAATTCTTTTGACTTTCAGCTGCAAAAGTTCACACCAAATTTATTTGGGATATTGTACCAACACTCATGAAAAACTTTATCGGTATGATGACCATCCCCAAGGACCAGTTCCAAAATCTGAAACGTGACCATGGGTGTTATGAAATTTTGATCATAATTTTTATCGTTCATCCAAAAAGCATTAAAAATCTCATCCATCGTTTATAATACAATAAATTGTGCACACAACGAATTTTTATCACCGAAGCATTATTTTCTTGCTAATGAACTATTGCGAGGTAAGTTGTTTACTATTATTATCACTGATTTTGTCTGAAACAACGTTAAGGGCATTGACACGCTGATAAGTCGTTCTAAAATTAGGAGAAAAGCACAAATGCGTGATAAGACAGTTTCCGTAAAATTTTTTAACGAGTAAACGATAGTAATAAACAAAAACGTTTAAACCAAACTATGTAACCAATTTTAGAAAATTCTAAAAACAAAATTCACTTTTCAATGTTTTTCTCGTTAAGGGAAGCCGTCAAAAGTAATGAAATGCGTATAACGTAGACGTAAACTTAGACATGGATGGGACCGAGACCAAAAAAGTTTTTACCGGACTGGAACTACAAACGTTTTTCCGGGACCGACGCTAGAACTAAGATTTCTTGTGACGTTTGCCATTTTCTCTTTTAAAGCATTCCTATCGTTATTTTTCTCCCAAATTTTCGTTTTTTTCTGTTTGCTTATAACTTTGGCGATATAACAGGCAAGTTTAACCCTGAATTGATGAATGTTTAGATACAGTCGTTTGCCTTTCGTTCGTTGCTGACATCCACCACTCATGAAATTGCTGGCGTAGAAACAACAAGCAACACCATTGACTCACATATAGAATGTTCATCAAATCGATTAATCAATGACGAAAAAAATTTAAATATCATAATATCAAAAATACAAGAAGACCAGTTATTTAGCACTGAAAATCAGTATGTTCGCAAATTAATGTCTGGACGTTTAATCCACGATGATATCCTCAACGACATTTGTACTTCCTTTGATCGTGGTTTGATTAGCATGTCAAGTTACATTCAAAAACGATTTGTTGATTGTACAGTAGCCGTCGACACACGTTTATCAGCCATGAAGATATTAAAATTAATCTATGCGGACAAATATTAATCCGATGGTGCCCCCCCCTCCCACGCAGAAAACAACAAAAAAGAACAATACTAATAATGGTGTAACCAAATGGTTAAAGTCAGCTGACGAACAAATACGAAAAATAATCGTATTATCTGAATTTAGAGTAAGTTATTTATTTTTTAGTAGAATTTTTTGTAACATTTTGTTGTTTTCTTTGCAGAAATTACACTTGGATTATTTATTTTCATTTGAGTTTACACCGGCATCAGCAACATTATGTGATCAACAAAACATCCGTAATCAACAAAAAAAATTAGTCGCCATCGATTTTTTAAAAGAACAATTTTCATCATGTTTTTCATCAACTGATCCAACAACAATAAACAACAAAAAATATGCAACAGTCATTGATGGTGGTACACTATTGGAAATTAAACCACTGAGATCAAATTATACAATTTATGATTATGCAAAACAACTATTGAAACGAACAATTACCCCACAATTTAAAATATTTCATCGAATCGATAGTATTAAAAGCAAAGCAATCAAATCATACACAAAGCGACATGGAAATGAGAACAATAGCAAACAAGATTGTATCTTGAAGAACGACCATATTTTAGAAAAAAGTTATCACAAGTTCGTCCACAAAACCGGGCACTATTGGCCGAACGTTTAAAAGATTGTTGGTCACAGCAAGTAAGTGACATCAACATTTGCTGATAGAAGGTTTTTTGTCGAACCTTGTTACAAAAATTTTTCCCAACGCTGAGCTAAATCCTTCTGGATTACAACGAAAATTCTCTTTCCCCGATACTCCTTCGTAACTCGGCAAGCTTTAAGAACTAAAAGCAATTTTTTTCATCTGCGATAAGAAAGCAGGAAACGAATTCTTCTAGATTGTTTGTGAAGAGAATCGAATCACGGAAAAATGCTGATAGTTCTGCATTTTATGCGGAGAAAAATAAAACAGTTCCTCCGCAGAAGCCTGTGGAAAATTTTGATTTCCATTATCTTTTTAATACACACACATCTATGACGAAGTTTTTCCACGGCTTGCGGTCTGAAACATCGGAAAAAGGCTTGTTTTTTGTCTTTCTTAGAAAAAACAAGTTGAAGTTGGGCTTGAGTAAGAGTGTTAGAATTGGAGCTCCATGGGTCTTTACCCTACGTAGAATTGGCAGCTCTGCTAAGACTGGAATGATGATCAGTCGTGATGGGGACTGCAAGCCACAGATACTGATATTATTATATTATCTATTGCATGTGTGTCATTATTCAATCAACAGTCAAACCAAATTCTATATTAAATCCGTTACGTGTAACAGAGCTCCAGGGGTCTTAAATGTACAATTTATTGTCCTTGTCTAGCAGATAAATGTACAAATCGTTAAAATCCTCATGTAAGTCATATTTATGCTTGTACTCCTCAACGTGACATTTGTGTTGTTGATATTTTTTTATAGTCAATCTCTCAACCTCAGCCAATTTTGATCAAAGAAGATTGTGAAGAAGACGACGACCAGAAAGAAGATTTTTCTAACAACCGAGTATTTGATAATGATGATAATTACGACGACGACGAAGACCTGGTCCAAGATTTGTATCAGAACACCGTAAGTAGATTTAACAATTTTAGTTCAACATCGATCGCTTCTTGTTTTTTATTTCTTTAGGATGGTATCACAAGCGACTCGAATCAAGATGATGACGCAAACGATTTCGAAAATGATATAGATTTGATACAATTTCAACAGCAATACAGCTACCCACAACTTCCTGAAAATTTTTCTTTAATCTCTTTGGATCAGGATTATTTACGTTCACTATTCATATCACTCAATAATGTAAGCCTTTGTACTTGTTGCAGGCGGCCTTGGTTCTTTGTTTTTACCTTTATTGTCCTATTTTTTTAGTCATTTAATGATGAATATGGATTATCAACATCATTGCTTCAATACCCGAGATCAATCTCAATGCCGCCACCATCATCTCAAATTGCATCCATTCATCGTTTTGTGAGCAAACTCATACAAATAGTGTAAGTTTTATGTTCAAAGAAACGCCAGGATGTGATGTTATCTATTGTTTCAGCTTTTCTTTTCCAGAAAAATAATTCATTGGCCCAATCATATAATAATCAAGCGATTATTTGTCAGACAACAACAACATTATCAAAAGGAATATTGTTATGTCCAATTAGAGCAAATGTGAAACAAGCTCAATCACCGCCAAGATCATTTTTATTGAAATACAACAATAATGATATTAAACGTCGACAATCTTTATTGAGCGCTCCATTAAGCGTGTAGCGAAACCGAATCTTGCAGATTCTTGAAGATTCGGTAATGGGATTAAGCTTTTGACATCTGTGTTTACTTTATGGCAAACACATTCGTTCTGATCAAGAAATGCATTACGTGATCTGTGATCAACGACTCTCACTGATGATAGATATATTTTCCGTATGCAGAAAAAAATATAAAATAAAACTAGTTAACACCCGATACGAATCGAATCCCGAGACTAGACCGGATCCCGAATCCCGAATCCCGAGACTAGACCGGACCCCGAATACCGAGACCAGAACGAGTCCCGAGTACCGAATGCCGAGACCAGACTGAGTCCCCTAATACCGAATACCGAGACTGAAACGAGTCCCGAATACCGAGATACTCGGTCCGTCCCATGCCTACGCACCATTAACCAGTATATCATTAACGATATCACCGTCTCCTACTCGCAGCTCGACTATGCTTACGGCTATTAATAGCCTTGTAAGTATTGTGTTTCGAACTGATTCAGTTGTACAATTAGGGAGTGACTAGATTACAGATTGTAGTATGCGTGTCAATTTTGTGAAAAATGTTTTTTTGTTCAGATCTCGATTTCAGAAACCCTTTTCTTGGCAGGTCCGTGAACTTCTGAATCTTTTTTGGGAAAACTAAACGTATTTTTTTATGCGAAGTTGCAAAGCCCGGATAAGATTACTAGTATACGTCTGTATTTTTTTCGATTTCAACCGAAAAGGAAGTTTTTGGAAGAAAATACAAAACATGTTGTTTCTCCAATTATACGAAATCTTTTCTTTGCTACTGTTTCTAAAAATCTCGCATGGTTTCTGTCCCATAAAAATATTTTAGAATTTTGATCCCTAACTATATGTCTTTTACTCTTCTATCATTTAGAATACGCTATCAATACGAAAAGTCACCCCCAAACTCAAGACGCCAAGAACAAGAGCAATGAAAAGAAAAACTATAAAACCGAGCAAGTACGAAAATTTATTATCGCAACCACCCCAAGTGAAGTAAGAAGTCAACAACTTATCATTACTCTTCAAGTCCCTCTGCTTTTTTTCATCTAGCTAATTCCGGTGAAACGTCGCCACATGAATAAACAAAGACAGCCGCGATTCGGTTTTTTACAAGGTTTCAAAGGATCATCAGATGATGAGTTGGTAAGCAGCTATTTTATACATTCAATGAAAAGTCAAAGTTTGTCTTACTTTTTTACGTTTTACCTTTTAGAGCAAAGCGATGATAAATGGTGGCGCTTCATGTACAAAAACAAGAGCAAGTATGAAAAAAACAAGTGATTCGAATGACAACAAGGTATCACCCACGGCTACAATAACTCAGGTGTGAACATAAATAAAAGATTAATTTTTAGCAAAAACGTTTCCTCTCCTTTCATTTTTTGCATGAAATTCATTAAGCGACCGTGTAATAAATATTCAAATGTTGATCTACTTGATATTCTATGCGATACACTGTGATTTACAAAGAACAAAGTTTATATACGTAGATTAAAGGATCGTTTTTCCTCGAACAGAATTAGGCTACACAGTAGTATTTATCAGTTTGTTGCATTTGCATTCTCTTGTTTATGTATTTTTTTTGTTTTAAAATTTCTCTTGTGTCTCATGACAATAAATAATTAGTAATTTTATCTGAAAATATAAATTTGTACTTTTTAATAAATTATTTTTAATTTTCAAATAAAAACACTGAACTACAGTCACTACGGAAAATATACATAAAGTATTCTGAATAATAAGCAATATTGGGATTTTCACTCAGAATTCATTTTCGTTCATTAATAAACTGAGGTACATAAGGAACGAACTATTGTGCCAAGTATTCATATGTGGAAAGTAAAAGAAAATGCAATTTACAGGTTTGAGCATGTCAATCTTAGCATCAAAATTATCTAAAAAAATACCTGTAGAATTTTTCTTACAGTTCCATCTTCTTGACGTTCAGATTACGGCCTCCTCGATAGACGCTGCTTCATCCAAAAACAAGCAGAGCCGAAGAAACGGAACCTGATAAATACTCCTCCTTTAGTCCTTGTTCAGAACACATCATAATCATGTCTCTGCATTCAGTCGAGGTAACATATATTAGATGTCGCCAGCGCAGGTGCATTCGGTATTGATTCGACGTTCTATCATTGTTTTACTGGCACAGTCCACGTAGCATTAGTGTAAAAAAAATTGCACATTCTACAATGGCGCTTGAAATATTTTAGGTTATTCTTTGTTTATTTCGACTAAATCAGCACTATTTAACGTAGTTTTCGTCAACTTTCCATATTATTCTTTATTCAATGACACTAGCCCGTCTGTAGATGTTTTCTCTGTTGGTCTCAAAAGCTCAAAAGTGGTTTTCTTGCTTATTATTACTACATATTTCGTGTTTCATAGAAACACTTCTTGTACTCAATTGATGCACTCTGAATTTCACGAATCAAGCAATAGTTAACCATCGAACTTCAAATTCATATCGTAGCTAAAGAAGGGTGATAACTGCATTTCGGTAAAAAAGAAAAATTTTCATCGCGGTTAGGCTTTATTAGCATTTTACGGAAAAGAAATGAAACGCTTAAATCTCTCAAATCATCCAATCAAAGGGGGCTAAACTTGCTGACTAATCCGGATCCAGTAAGACGCACCAACACACAAAATTCAAAGTCTCTCGCTATCATGATTCTTGGGCTACTGGGATGCTTCTACCATTTCAGAGTACTGTGCAAAAGACTTTTGTCTTTTTAAAACTCATGTATTCTCTTTTTCGTATTGTCGTGCGTACACAACATTTGGCACACAGGTGTAAACATTTTTTACATCATACTTTCCTATCTTCTACTCTATTTTAAGATTATGTATACAAACAACAATTGCATTAGCAGCAGTCAAAGAAAAAGAATGAGCGAACGACGTTCTTTTCTCTCGTGATCATTATTTTTTTTTCATTTTTTTGTTGTTGTTGAGTATTTGAATGTTAACAAGAATTCTTTTGCACTTTTTATTATGCTTCATCATCGTCGTGTTTTCTTCTTCTTGTGTACATTAGAAGTCTTCTTTGCGTCGTTGCTAAGTATTTTTTAACGAACACCCAGTGAGTACGGCTGAGTGACTTTTTCGAGAAAAAACCCACTGCATACTTTTAGCAGTCCACCCTTCGACCCTAGCCACTTAATCCAGTTGACTGTGCCTACCGTTCTTCTATCAATCATTTCTATAATTAAGCCGAGCGACCAGGTAAGTTTATTTACCCTTCGCTAGCAGTTTCCATAACTCGTACAAAGTTTCTTTGTTGACAGAGTTCCCTTTTAAAAATCACAAAAGGTCTAATATAATGTCTATAATGTATATAATAACGGCTATGTATCGGAACTATTAGCGACCATTGTTTTCACAAGTTTATTTAGTCTCACCACTATCGTACATCTGTTCCAAACTATAAAAAGTCGAGAATGGTACATGATCATCCTTCCCATTGGCGGTAGCATTGAAATTATTGGTTGGGCAGCTCGTATTTGGTCTTCACAAGATTCCTTAAACAATAATGCCTTTCTGGCTCAAACAGTCACTCTCATCATTGCACCAGCATTCTTCTCAGCAGCAAACTATGTTATCTTGGGGAAAATGATTCCAATTATAAAAGGCCTTCCCACAAGCACACTAAGAGCTAATAACTAAGTTTTTTTCTACAGATCATCATTCAAGCGACAAATTTACGCGCATTTGATTGAGAATCATGTTATATTTTCTTTCAATGTTTTTGAATCTCGGCCATTTATAGGAAGGAAAAAATAGCCGTTTATGGCATAACGGAATTTTCTTAAAGCTGAAATTGTTGTGATAGTAGTAGGTAAGACATTCCACTGCTTAATTGTCGATGGAAAAAATGTAGTTTCGAGCTTAACTTTATGGGTGCGATATGTGTTCATGCGTTTGTCAGAAGCAGATAGCAGGATCGTAGCTGTTGTCGCTACAGATCTTGGTGTTCTATCATTCGAGAAAAAACCCAGTGCATACTTTTTAGCAGTCCACCCTTCGACCCTAGCCACTTAATCCACGACTGTACCTACCATTTTTCCACCAATCATTTCTATAATTAAGCCGGGCGACCAAGTAAGTTTATTTACCCTTCGCTAGCAGTTTCCATAACTCGAACAAAGTTTCTTTGTTGACCGAGTTCTCTTTTAAAAATCACAAAAGGTCTAATATAATGTCACACTGCCTAGTCTGAAAACTGTAAGTTCAAATTCTACTTTTCTACGTCTTATAGATAAGAGAATGGTAGTTCTCACACGATCACCTTACGGCTATGTACCGGAACTATCAGCGACCATTGTTTTCACAAGTTTATTTAGTCTCACCACTATCGTACATCTGTTCCAAACTATAAAAAGTCGAGAATGGTACATGATCATCCTTCCCATTGGCGGTAGCATTGAAATTATTGGTTGGGCAGCTCGTATTTGGTCTTCACAAGATTCCTTAAACAATAATGCCTTTCTGGCTCAAACAGTCACTCTCATCATTGCACCAGCATTCTTCTCAGCAGCAAACTATGTTATCTTGGGGAAGATGATTCCAATTATTGGCAGTCAGTATTCTCGCCTGAGTGCGTGGACGTATACAATCATTTTTGTGATTTGCGATGTGATATCTCTCGTTATTCAGGCAATTGGAGGTGGAATGGCTGCCGTAGCTGAAAATATGTCAACATCAACTGATCTAGGCACACACATTATGGTAGGTGGTATTGTATTTCAAATGGCATCGATGGCTCTCTATGTGCTCTTCGGTCTTGAATTTGCATGGCGTGCAACTAAGAAACGACCATTTAAAAAGCGTATTGCTACTGATACTCCTGCTTTTGATCGTGCTCCATTGTCTCTCGGTAAATACAAAGGGCTGATCTTCGCTATGTTTCTTAGCACACTCATGATCTTTATTCGATCGATTTATCGCACGATCGAACTGCTACAAGGTTGGACCGGATACGTTATTACACACGAACCGTTCTTTGATTGTCTGGATGGAGTACCGATGATTATTGCAATTGCTATATTCACGTTTTTCCATCCAATGAGGTACTTTACGAAGGCAGACACAATATCAGGAGCCGTACCGAAAGAAGATATAACAGTTGGTGGATCACCAGTTGGTTCATTGGTACTGAATGGACAAAGGAACGAGAAAGGAAACGGACCAGCGAGTGGCTCTGTAGGAATGAGTGCGCAAAGCAAACCAAAAAATGCGTCGGCAGCTAGTTCGGTGTTGAATGGGTTTAGGTAACAGGAAAATGAATCGGCGGTTAAAAGTGTTAGCAAGACTCGAAAATGTTATAAAAGAGTCTTGTTCCTTTGTTTGCCCGCACTATTCTAATTTAGCACAAAGCAAGAACAATAAAGAAATGAATTCAAGGGCCGTCTTTCAAACATTTTCTACATTTCGTTGTAAAGTTAATTAAATTGTAATAAAATATGACAATATGTCGGCAAGAGAAATCGGTTGGTTGTCGCTCATAGTCGCGTGACGGAGTAAATCATTCACGTTTCTTGTGTTACAGTCCGTTTCTCTTTTCTATATGGATGAACTCACATGTAGATTATGTATACAAATAACAATTGCATTAGCAGCAGTCAAAGAAAAAGAATGAGCGAACGACGTTCTTTTCTCTCGTGATCATTATTTTTTTTTCATTTTTTTGTTGTTGTTGAGTATTTGAATGTTAACAAGAATTCTTTTGCACTTTTTATTATGCTTCATCATCGTCGTGTTTTCTTCTTCTTGTGTACATTAGAAGTCTTCTTTGCGTCTTTGCTAAGTATTTTTTAACGAACACCCAGTGAGTACGGCTGAGTGAAGCATTAGAGCCCGAAAAGGTTTCTAAAGACGTTGCATTAAACAATTTTGATACTCTAACGCAGGTCAGCATGCGTTACAAAAACGTTTTCGAGAAAATTGCGTTTGAACGGGTTAAATTTTCAAATAATACGCGTTTAAAAATAAAGAATACATGTACATTCCAGAATAAAAGTTTATCTTAACTCGTTTAAACGGGTTAGAATAGATCACCGGTGTAATCGGTATCAAAAATGCGATACCGGTACCAGGCGGTATATCGGTGACCGGTTTACCGGTCAGTACTGGCTTGCCTTGATGATATTTTGCCTAAATACAAATACTTTTTGTAAACTTCATTTTATGTTATCAAGGGATAGATTCATCTTTTCACTTTGATTATGTATAGCTGATTTTTCACACGCTTTTTTTACGAACACAGCAATCCAATTCAATCTTATAAATTAAGAAATTTATAGAAGCCGACAAAGCTTAAGTAGTTGGAGTGAAATTTTCGTGAAAGAAATATGTCACCGATGACTGAATTACACGATGTTTTTCGAAAAAACTCATATCATACCGCAAAATACCAGCAATATCGGCCGACTGATTCTACTTCATACTAATGCCGGTATACCGGTCGGCGTTATAATTCTTCTAAGTTTTCCTCTTACTATATATATGTGTAAGAGATTAGTCTACCATAATGATGCTGATGAACAATATCTGGTAGACCATAGCCATGTGGATCTTGGGATCCATCAACAGAACAAAAACCTGACTGAAAAGGATAAATACACTATGCACGCACTATAACGCGTTAAAATTACGAGGTATTATTCTATCGAGTGTAAACGCATCCATGAAGCTAACTTCTTCAATTTTTAACGAGTTTGAACGATTTACGATTATGGAGCTGTTATCACGCACTACTAATCGAACTCGTTAGAATCAATGAATATGAAATATTTAGCGTGGTTCTAACGTGCTAAGCCGCTTACGTAACGCATTGCGGTTTTAAAATTTTTGTAATTAACGGGTTTGAACGTCGTTTTCATATTTCTCTTTTACAGAAACAGACTTTTACCTTTGGCCAAGCACTTTCAGAGGAGAATGTTTTTCCTGCAAAAATACCACAGGATTTCGTCTGTTTCAAAACTGCTTGGCCAAAGGTAAAAGTCTGTTTCTGTAATAGCCAATGTCGAGTACATGCGAGGTCTGTGTCATTCCACGTCATGGAATCCCGTGTTATGGTGCAGCATGCACTCAAACTTTGAAAAACGTGGAAAATCGCCTTCAGAAGTTGTTTTTTCTAGCGTTAAACATTTTTGATCTCAGTGCGGACCACTTCATCAGATAGAGCTTGAAAAGACGCGTCGCATGCACATCTTTCTGTCTTGTGTGGATACGACTTTATGGGAAAAATATGGCTTACAAAAAAGCGCTATTTTTCGGAAATAACGACTTTTTTAAAAATTTCCCTGAGAACGTACTTAACATTTTGAAAGTTTTTGCCCGTTAGTGATTTGGTACCTCTGCACATATAGAATCTAATCTGACGGTATTAGCTCATGAAAATGTTTCACTAAAAAATGGTGAATATGCCCACAAAAAATCTGTTCTGCTGGATCCCAACCCCAGGAAGAAATTTTGGACCCTCGCAGGTCCTTTGCACGCATTATATATTTTTTTCGTCTCTACGCCCCTAAAATTCGAATGCATTATTGCGTTCAAATGCGTTATTGTTATAAACGTCTATAGTGTATGTAAAATTTTAATGCATTGTAGCGTCTTTCGAAAACTTTTCAGGCTCTAACGCTTCTCAGGCGTCATAAAATAAGGCGTTCGAACGCCTTCCCGTTTCTCAACTGACTTGAATTCATACATCAAGTAGAAGGCGTTAGCAGAATTATAATTTTTAATGCGTTTGGGCAAGTTAACGATCCAAAGGCATGTAAATAAAACCGAGTTCTTTTAGAAATGCGTTGAAATTCAAAACTAAAAACTGGCGTTTTAGTCCGTTATAGTAATAAACGCGACGAAACGCCATACTGAGTTTCGCGTTCCAAAACGTTTTCTTTTTATATGTGTGGAAACTGGAAAAACAACTATGGCGTTTCGTCGCCTTTGTAAAAAAAACGGACTAAAACGCCAGTTTTTAGTTTTGGATTTCAACGCAATTTTAAAAGAACTCGGTTTTTTTCACGAATGCGACGAAACGCCATGTTTTATTTCATCATCATCATATTGCGTTTCGTCCTCTATCAGACAATAAATTGCTGGTCGAGAACATGCATATTTGCCACAAGCTGTTTCCACTTTGTTCGCTGCATTGCGCCTTGCTCGAGCGTTCTCAGATCATTGATTGTTTTGAGCTCGGCTTGTAGTTTGAACTGTAATGCAAGTTCTGTTAGATGGATCGACTCTGCGATTGTGGAAAGTTCTTTATTGATGATCACCGGGAGCGTGGTGCGTGGAGCACTTCTGAACGCGGGACTTTGTATTTGTGCATGTCTTGCATAAGTAGCTCTCGTTTATGTTATTGTGTAAGGCCGCCAACGTTGAACGTGGCGATTCTTGCAGCCCTTGCGGAGTTATTTGTGGCTTTTTGATTGACGGTTGGTGCAGTTGGCTGTGCCAACTGCGCCAGGAGACTTGTGAGCATCTCATCCAAAGATGTTTTATTTCGCGTTCCAAAACGTTTTTTCTTAAACGTGCCGAAACCAGAAAATGAGATATGGCGTCTTTTTTCGTTTTCCCTTGAAACGCGTAGGAAAGCGTTCTCTGGTCGGATGGTTTCAGTGCGATGAGAAAACAAACGGAAAACAAGGCGTTTTTCTAGTTTCTCGTTTCAAAACGTCTACGAAAAACCGAATTAGAACGGGTTTTTTTATTTTCTCGTTTTGGTGAGACAAGTCCCGTAGAAAATTTGGCAGTGGGTACGCGCATCTTAATAATTTTACATCGAGAACGAGATAAAACGGTAGCATGAGGGTCCATCATGCAATTACTTTAAAAATTTTTGAAAGTGATTTTTGTGATCAGAACACCAAGTTCTACCAGCTCTAAGCGTATAAAACGATAGGCATAAAGTCAATATAAAGGTGGTACACTTCCTAAGACACCAGAGACCGAATTGGATCTTAGGTGGATGACCCGAACCCGACCCGATCGGAATCAATATTAAAATGAAGGTTAAAAATGACTTAGCTATGAGCAAAATACTGAACAGATGTCTGATATTGACCGGAATTACCCCGAGGCACTCTGTTGAGAAATCAAGAAAAAAGTAAAATTAAAAAGTTGCATTTTGCAGTGCCTATACAGTTAAAATTCACAATGAAAAGTAAAATGTAGACAATAAATCATTGGTATATATAGGGTGGCATAACAAAGAAGTGAATATATGCACATAAACCGTGTGACTACTTTCCTTTCAAGATGTAGAAAAAAGAAGAATGTTAAAATAATGATCATTGTGTAAAAAGAAAGGTAATGAAAATCACTTGACTAAGTTCAGTTTTGACTTTATTTTTATTTCTTATTTTTTGACTGATAATAAAATTTGAATGAGATAAATGTATGCATGATGTATATATTAAAAGAAATGTACTTGATTATATAGCTCATATTTGACGTATCTGACGCTACTGAGCAGTGGCGGCGGAACGATTGCAGTCTAGGGGAGGCTCAAAATCTTTTTTATGCACCATATGTAAACTAAAGATGAGATCTATGATATTTTCTAAAATATTTGAGCCTCCTCAGGCCTTCCTCTTCCTTTTCTAGAGGAGGCTTAGGCCTCCCCTAGCCTAATGGGTCCGCCGCCACTGCTACTGAGTCACAGTAGAACAGAACTGAACACTAGCACGCACAACAAGTTACCATCTTAGAAGGTCACGTTCATCTCTCTCTCTCTGTCTCTCATTGATTTTGCCAGAACAAATAAGTAAACTGAGTCACTCATGTAGAACTGTTAGTTACTATGATTAAATCATAAACCTATCTCTGATTTCCTTGAGCTAACGAACTGCCAAGTTAAGGAAGTAATTAGAAATTGAATTGTATTGATTGAATTTTAACAGCTCTTATACCTCTGTGTTACTCGCAGAATTAGACACTCAGTACAAGAAGTGTTCTAGGAAACTTTAACACAAGACAATCATCAACCACTACTAAGAAAATTATACGAGTGATTCACCGAAAAACAGAAGGAATCCCATTAGACAGTATATTTACGTTATAAGTAGGTATGCACCAGTTACAGTTTTTTATCAGTTAACCGTAACTGTGAAAACTGTAACTGTTCATAACTGTAGACAAATATTCTAGAGTGAGTTAGTCTTCTACATTTTGCATACATTTACGTTCTTAAAATGTATGCAAATTGTAGAAGACTAACTCACTCTAGAATATTTGTCTACAGTTATGAACAGTTACAGTTTTCACACTTACAATTATGACCGTTACAGCTATAACAGTTACACAGTTATGATAGTTACAGTTAACTGTAACCGATGCATGCCGAGTTATAAGTGCTGTTTGTTATAAGCTATTTATTAACGAAGAATAAAAGGTTTGTTTATGTCTACTAAAAGTGAGAGTAGCTCCCGATTATTATTGGTAAGGGCACAAAAGACACAGATCACGTATATAAGTCAAAGCAGCTAAGTTTAAAGACAGGTAATGCGGCAATCTCTATCGTTATGCAAATATTTTAAGCTTGTGTGCAATAACGATAGCTTGAACTTGTAGTCGGTAATAAATACCAGACATAATATCCATTGCAATTTATTACACTTATCGGTGATAATGAAAAGCCGCACGTACTGCCAGTAAAAAAACAGACATTTCCTGTTGTTAATGTTCCTGCTGACGTTGGTAATGAGCCATTGAACCATCCAGGATAACTAATCCCACAGGTACAGGTCGACGAAGGCGAAGTCATGATAAGTTGCGTACCAGCTAATCCAGAGATACGATACCAACCAGCTGTAAGAGAGGTGTCATAACTGCCCGTGTTACAAGTGTAACCATTTGCCAACACCCGATATTGATCAGTCAGGGATGAATAAGCATAACACTGAGTTGATAGAGAAGCAGAAGACGAAGAGTATCCTGAAGCAAGAAAAAACAAGCAATTAAGTGATACCATCTGTTTTACCCATAAATTATCAAAATAGCCCAAGCAAAAAAAAGAAAAAATCGATAAGCTAGCTCAGCCTAGGTAAAGCAGTATATTTAGGTAGCTCCAGCTAGATAGTAGCTAACTTGAGCTGGATAAATGTACCGCTTTGCCTAGGCTGAGCTAGCTTATAATTTTTTCTTTTGCTTGGGAGACCAAGAAATGACAGTATTTGACCTGTAGTGGTTGTTCCTGTTATGCTGCTCGATGAACGTGAGCTCACCCTACAAAAGATAAAGGTGATCAACCCACTTAATGTACTATTTCACTCTTTTTCTTTACCATAATGTTGTCATAACAGCCAAGGGAATGCCACAAATAATTAAGCCGATCAATAAGAAAAGCATTTTCGACGATGACATTTTAGAACATGTTTTTGCAAAACTGAAACATGGAAATAATATCATAATCCGATTGATAGTTGCAAAAGTCACACTCATACGCTGACTCTGGTTTTTCTTCTGTCATTGGAGCAAAATTATTCATTCCACTTTTTGGTGGTAATGCGCCTGTCCCCCATGCATCGGTTCGTGCAAATTGACTTGTTGATGGGTTGAACCGCGGATCAATAGAAGAAACACGTGTCATTGATTGTTGGAGTGGAGGCATAAAACTGGCCCGATTGATTATTTGACTGAAACGTGGATCAACTGCGTTTTGTGGAACAGTAACAGGTGGATATTCGCTTTTTCTGGGAGTCAGATAAGGATACATTTGATCTTCGTTATGCTCCTTATATGAAAAGAGAATATCTTAACTAGCTGAAAAACACTTCAAAATATCAACATTAGCAACATACCATCGTCTATGATTCTCGGACAGCTGCGACTTTCAAAAAGAAAAATAACACAATAAAATGATGATTGTTTTTTGAATAATAAGATGTATGCGTATTAATAGCCTTCAAGAAATCGTCATGTTTTACAATATAACAAAGAAAACCTTCTAAAAGAGATTTATTTAAACAATGTCTTACTGAAGTCTTGTTTTGTTTAAAAGTACAATCAACAGAAGTAGTAATACATACTTTTGTTGTCCAATAAATTTGGACGCAAATATCGCAAATAAATTAAATTTTATATCGGTGTATCTTGAAAAGGTTATTATTTTGCAATTATTAAACAAACAAAAGCTATTTTCAAACGTTTTCAACATGATGTGTGTGCATAGCTAAAAATCATTTGTCCATCATATGTCTAGCCTCTGAAGCTCAGGAAAAGCTTATCATTACGCGCCCAACTGAGTCTAATACTCCATCGAAAAGTAGTCATTTTATTCGTTTTGCATACTTTTTCACAGTTAAAACAAAACGAAAAGCATTATTGCGCTGAGAAGTTGTCATTCTTTGACTTTTCAATGTCTGGGTTCGCCAAGAGATGTCTGACATTTCAGTTGCTTGAAGAAGTTTTAAAAAACGCGTAGGATCCTGTCTACATTGACATTTTAATGCTTTTTACTGGCACTGAATCATAATTTAACGTGCTTTTTTGAACTTCTACGACTGCTGATGATGGATTAATAGTCCATTCAACTTGTCCGAACATGGATGCTGAGTTAAATTGTGGTTCAATTAATGAAATAAGCATAGACTGTGTTTGCTGAGTTGGTGAAAAACTAGCACGATTCATAATCTGATTGAACTTTAAACTACTATTCCGACGAATAGGCGAACAGCTTGGAGCGAGATACGAACATATTGACCTTCGTTCGAGTCCTTTAGAAACATCGCCTAGATATATTTCCGAAAATTTCAGCAGACAATATAACAATACACGCCACAGCCTTTTGTTTTTTGATATTTTGATATTTAGAATAATACTGGCAATTTTATGATAATTTCAGTTTTAATGTTCCTTGTTGTCTGAAGCCAAAGAAAACATATAAAAAGAATCCATCAACAACACGCGTTATATTCTTTAATTTTCTACTGATGATTAAAATCCATTTATAGGGTTTCTATCTCTTTACCACTCCATTACGCGATATTTATAATTTTCTTAGTACTTATCAGAAAAGACAGTTATTATATGTCATATAACAAGGTCGATGAGGACAAACAAGCAAATAAACGTGATGACCTCTTTTGTGGGTAGCAGTGGTGAAGACAAACACATTTGATATCAACAGTTCTCTGCCACATAAATGTTCACATTTTTGTGGTAACTCAAAACTTACTTTTTCTCTGCCTTAAGCTATTATTTATATTAAAACTGATAAACTACAAAAATGTATAGTAAGACCCTCTTTCTACCAGAGACAGGATGGTCCAGGTCAAATGTCCAGACCTGACCTAGCAAAAGCGGACTTGGACCTGCAAGACGTGAACCTGGAAAAGGGGACCTGGACTTTGACTTGAACCTCTACCTGTGACCTGCCGGCATAAGCAACATATCAGCCATTGACTATATCTAGCAGTGTGAAACTGAATTATTTCATACACATTTTCTCTCCTGTTGGAAATTCTGAGAACAATATGAAAAATCGTAATAACCTTATTGCCTAAAGACATTTTTGTTCAAAATATCTATCACGTGCTTCTCATATATTCTAAGAACTGTTCTTAAACTCTAGTACAGGATATTGTAAATTCGCACTGTCAGAATTTTTTCATGCAACGGACCCAGCGTCCAGGTCACAAGTTCAGGTCATAGGTCCAGGTTAGGTCCAAGTCTAGGTCTATTTTTTTCAAGTGCAGGTCCACAGGTCCAGGTTCAGCTGTATAGGTCAGGACCGGACCCGAGGCAAAATTGTTCATTAGATCACTGGATGACGGAAGTGAATTACAGAGTAATTCAAAAAAATGAATTGTAGAATAATTCGAATTCTATTCTATTTCTAAGGTACTGTGAGGTACTATAGTTGACTACAAGAGACTGTAAGGCACTATAAGGGACTATAAGGCACTATAAGGGACTATTACGTACTATAAGTGACTATAAGGGACTATTGGGTACTATGAGGTACTATAAGGGACTATATGTTTGAACTTTGAGACATGTCGAATTAATGAAATGAAATATCTCGTTATTCGAAAAACTTTGAATGAATATAAAATGTAACTAAAAATATATAGTCGTGAAAAGTGTTACTGGAACATCAGCAACAGAAACGATTGAGATAGAGGTGTTAGCCGCCGATTTTCCGCCGCCGCCGAAAATGAAACGTCGGCGAAAGCTTGTCCGCTTTCGGCTCGTTCTTGCATGAACTTCTTTTTTGTCAGCAAATATCTTGTAGGTCTCAGATATCATTGCAGCTTTCAGGTTGTAACAGCAGCAGCTTTAGTATTCCATACAAGGGAGAAATAACAGATATTTTTGATTTAAATCAATTTTAAATTAAAAAAAATCAAAACATCAAGAAACTCAGAAAAATCAAAACATATCATAAAATTGTTAATCTCTGTTGTTCAAAATATCAATCAAGGATGAAACAGCTGAAATCAGATTTCTTTGATTTCTGTTTGAATTTTCTTTTTTTTTTTTAGACCGGTCTGATTTGTGAATATCTGCAATTTACAAAACATCTAGATATTCAGATATTCTAATATTCAAATGTTAGATATTTAGATATTAAGAGGGGCTGGTGGGAGGGGTGGGGAGATGAGAGTGAGTGAGATGAACTGAAGATCCTAACATCTGAATATATAAACATCTGCAATTTGCACAATATCCAGGTGTTTAAAAACTCAGATACTCAAAACTTAGGCAGTTGGATATTTAGATATTCAGATGTTAACATCTTTAGTTCTTCTCACTCACTCTCAGACCCTACTGGTTTTTTTAATTTAAAATTAATTCATTTCAAATCAAAAAGATCTGATTTCAGGTGTTTTCCCCGTATTCCATAAGAACTCTCACAATACCTACGTATTTCTTTGCTATTTTGCTCCACAGTACAATAGCCAAGGGGGAGAAAGCGTTTCTGAAATGGTAGAATGGGCTGGAATGGGCTGGAATGGGCTGATCCGGAGTGACGGAATGGGACTCTGAAGCGAATGGAATTTGATGTTTTCCATTGACGTGCTTTGCTTTCTCAAATTCTGTTTTCATTTGTAGCATTGTTTACAAGGGGGAAAAAGCGGAATGGGACGGAATGGCCCATTCCATACTATTCCATACCACTCCATACCATTCCATACCATTTTTTACAGTTTTTCCATTCTCCTTTTTTGAGAGGCTTATGGAATGCGCCGGAATGGGCCACATTGGCGCTGAGTGAGAACTTCTATTTCCTTGACTGTAAAGGAAAGGGTCTCGTAAAAAATAAAATGCCTGTATGTATGTTTGCATGTATGTATGTCTACAGAGCGACAACCAAACTTGCTCTATGTTTGTAGTTTCATGGCATACAGTCATGAAGCGTTCACACTAGGGGTATTCGACTATGGAGAATCAGACCTAATACTTCTGCTGCTTAAACCCATTTATTTCCCAGAAATAGAATGTTAGATCTGCCTTCTTGTGAAAAATTTATCAATAACAGAACACTACAGCTCAGCCCTTTTTACATTTCTTTTCCCAAACAGGACACTTGTTCTAAATATGGGACAAATTTCCTACATATCCGAACAAAATGTTGCATTTTTGGGAATTTTTTCCTAACAAAGGAGAAACATTGTTCTTTTCTGCGAGAATATTTCCCAGAATGTAACACATTTGTTCTTTATTTGGAAAATTCATCCCATTTTCGGAACAAAACTGTCCAGTTGTGGGAAAGCATGCTCAAATGGACTGAACACTAGTGTTCCGTTTTGGCGAAAGGAATAGGCTCCCTGACTCCATATGCGGTTAGGAGTCATGTGGAGTCTACTGTTTCTGCCTTGTTCTAATGTTCTAGGAATATTGAGAACTATAAGAAATATAAGAACATTAGGAGCATAGGAACAATGGGAGCTAAACAATCAATGGGGAAAGAGCGTTTCTGGAATGGTAGAATGGGCTGGAATGGACCGGAATGGGCTGATCCTGAGTGACGAAAAATTCCCAAAAGTTTCATGACTGTATGCCATGAAACTACAAACATAGAGCAATTTTGGTTGTCGCTCTGTAGACATACATACATGCAAACATACATACAGGCATTTTATTTTTTACGAGACCTTTTCCTTTACAGTCAAGGGAATAGAAGTTCTCACTCAGCGCCAATGTGGCCCATTCCGGCGCATTCCATAAGCCTCTCAAAAAAGGAGAATGGAAAAACTGTAAAAAATGGCATGGAATGGTATGGAATGGGACGGAATGGGCCATTCCGTCTCATTCCAGCTCATTCCGCTTTTCCCCCCTTGACAATAGCCGTTTCTGTGATAAGTCCCTTATAGTCAATTATAGTATCTAATAGTCCCTTATAGTACCTTATAGTCCGTTATAGTACCTCATAGTTTTACTACATATATAACATATGTAGAATATATCTATATAATAAAATTATATATTTTATACTATAAATTATACATTCTATATTATATAATATAGATACAGAGACAGATACAGATGTATCTATCACATATGTATAAATTTTGAATTATTTTGTAATTCATTTCCGTCATGAACTCCATTAGATCGAATAACAGTAAGCCACCTTACAGTTAAACTTTCTGGTTTCTCCTACAAGTTTTGACCTTGACCCGCACAGGTCACAGGTCAAGGTCTAGATATCCTGTCTCTGCTTTCTACGGTAGTTACTCTTTCATACGTTCACCACCATTAACATCATCACTACCCGCTTCATGTCAACAAACAGTTTTAACTAAAATATTCTTTATTCAATATGATGAGATAGTTTTTTAGTAGCCTCTTCTATACCTCTTAAAAAAAGGAAAGAAGGAACCGACTTCTGAGAAAGTGGCCTTAGTGTCAAGCAGCCAGGCAGTGATCGTGAAAGGGACAATAAACTCATGCTCTTCTGTAGGTAAGTTTTCGGCTTCGTGTTCGAAACCGTTGCAGACATCGCAAATGAGGGAAGGCGCTAGAAGATCAAGAAAAAGTGAGAAAATGAAACAGAACTTACCCAAGAGCGTAGAAAGGGGTAAAAAGATGGGGTCTGAAAATTAAAAAAGCGGCCCGTAATATTTCTCATTAGGTGGGTCCGCATCCCATTTGCCACGGGGGGACGGGGTCTGAACGGCTCATAAATACAAGTATCCCGTGTAAACACGCGTTCTCCATCGAAGAAATACGGGGCCACGAAAAATGTTTTTTTATGCCTTCGAAGCACCGTGTGGTTACCTGTTCTACTCTTAGATGCCGAGAGATGTAAAATTGACTTTTGAGTATGTTCCACCCCAGGCAATCGTTTTCTTTTCGAAAAACGCCTTAGTTGCGTTTGTTTTTAACGCGGTCAAACGTATCGGTTTTGCACCATTTTTGTGATAGAAACGCGTTAAATTTTTAAGTTTCAATTTTAAAATTAAATTCAGAATCAAGCTGACGTGTATAGAGAGTCTCCATGTTCTCACACAGCCATCCACGACTATCTTAAAGTCAAGGTTCGCAAGTTAAGGAAGAAAGAAACTAAAACAACTTACTCTGCTGTGACGGTATGCCATTTCTTTGGCGATCCTCATCTTCTCGTATTTCCACAAAGACCTGAGGCAGCCAGACATCAATACTGGTGTAGAGAAGATGGACAGCATTTAATATTGAAAAATCAATTTATCGAAGGAAGAGTGAATGTTCATCCACAAGCATGGTGGAGTGAAGAAGTAAATAAATTTTAAATATGTTTTTTCATGCAGGTACTTCTACGCAGCGCAGCTTGCTTCAAGCAAAACTGAAAGGCGACAACATCCGACTATGTAGATTGCATAGTGCTATCAAAAGCCCGTTAATACTCCTACTTGTCGTCTAGGTTTTTCTAGAAATCTCACCAAAATTCAATCCTTTACTCATACTCAGAACCAATAACGCCTTACTCTTTCACTTAGTTAAGAATAACTTTTTAGTTTAAATGCTAAACATGAATACAAAATTAGTTTCCCTCTAATGGTTGGCAGAAGGATCGGAATTTTGGCGAATGGTGTAAAAAAACCCAAAAAGAAAATTCATCTAGGCACAGTCACAGCCGAAGGACTTATTTTATAGTAGTCGTATAATAATGGGATAAAAAATATCTCAAAAAGTTGATGTGTTGTTTGCAACCAGTGACTATGTTTCGCATGACTTTTATAGGATGTAAATAGCAACTTTAATAGACTTTTTGCCGTACTTTGCGATCCACATAGTCAGATCTTGTCGGCTTTCAGTTGTATGTAAAGCGGGTAAACTTTGTGGAAACTTCTGTGTATGTCAGTTGAGAGTAATAACATAATCTCTTTTAGTTTGAATTTATATTTTTCCAAGATAATGTAACATTGTGCAAGGTTTCAAACACTCAACAAATTTGTAATAATCCAAGTGAGCTGGCTGACGGAGCATTGAGAGTTCGATGAGAATAACACAATGCTTTTCTCTACTCTATTAGACATTAATATAACTCGAACACGTAATAATATAGACATTTTTTATCGAGATGCAGATATATTCTTATCCATAATAAAATACGACATGGTAAAATAAGAAATGGTCAAACATCGATAATCTGCAATTCGGTATGTTTTTCTCCATTGTTTTAGTCTCCTTGGTACGATATAACAATACGAATGACATTTGGAGCGATTCGTTCATCCTCAGGTTTATGTACTGCGCCACTCGTTGACAAATGTGATTTAGAAGTCGATGGTGGCAAACGGAAAAGATCGAGAAAACTAATTAAAAGATCTAATATGACTGTTGAAGAACTTATGACAAGTCAGATGGCATCATCTGTTTGCGAACAGTATACCGAGCGTGCAATTGAATCAACTAATCAATTGCATGTACCAGTTAGTACAGAAATAAGGGACAGTGCTCGAATAGCTTGTATTAATGATGTGCAGCTGACTGGAAACAAAAACGTCAGTAGTTTTGTAATTAGTTTCGAGTTTTATGATCAATATTTTTATTCTAGTTCTGCTCAAGTGTGATTGGGTTTTTAGTCAAAGAAGGCATAAATGAAATGAATCTAGAAGATGATGAATACCAATTGTATATCGATAAAAGTGCATCAGTTATGGAGATAGCAGTTCAGAATGCTAGTGATATCGTTGATATTCTTATTTCAAATGCGCTGGTCGCAACAAACGATTCGACGCAACAAAGTTCTCCTTCTATCCCTACTACGGCTGTGCCTGTAACAACAACAATAACACCACTTGATGAGACAACCAAGAAAAATGGCTATAGCAAAACAACATTAAACTCGCTTCTGTTCATTTCACTAGTAACGACACACTGTACACTCCTCAGCTTTTCATAAGAAGATGAATAAAAATTTATTGATATAAAAAAAATGCGAAGCATGATATCTAACCAGTGTGGGACAGCGTATTTTCTAATGCTCTTATGTTCGACCAATTCACTTTTCGCATGGTGTGAAATGTTCGATGCGAATAGATTCATTCGTAAGAAAGTCCGACAAAAAAGATCATGAATCGCCACAGTTTCTTCATGAAACTCTAACCATCGGATACAACATACAAGAGAAATTAAGAAGAATTGTACAGGAAATAAACAAAATTTTTATTGATATAGAAAAACATATCCAAAGCAGATAGACTGAGTAATAAAAGCAGGAGATGATGCTCTTTTTAATGAAATAAGATCTGCAAGGACGAGAGTCATTTTGAGATCCATTGGCCCTAGTATCGAGTGTATAGTTAGCACGTCTGGCAATAATCTCATACCATTCGGCTAAAGTATCACTTGGAGCCGGGAAAAGTCTCATGACGAATGTTTGCTCTACAAAACTGGCTTGTTTGAGAAATATTTGAATCCCACGGAAAAGTCGTTATATTACTGAACGGTCACGTTTAATATCTAACAAAGCATGTTCAAAAGCATATGTAAGTGCTTGTTCATCACCTCTTATTGCCTCATCATGATTTCCACAGTTATGGAGTGTAACTTCTCGATACAACTTGATGAATGATGAACGTGCTTGCAAAGCTTTTAGAATAGTTCTGTGAATATTTGTTAAATAAGTGCGAGCCGTTTGTTGAGCACTACATCGGGTTTATCCATTTCACAATACAACATTCCAAGGTTACTACATTGATATCTTTTCCCTTATCATCATCTGGTAAACAATCTTTTAATATTTTATTGTACTATTTTTCAGCAGTATTATAATTTCAATAAAACATTTACTAATGTCATTAATGGACATGGTTCGACAATTTGTTCATTTAGAATATTAATCAGTTTTATGGATATTTCATTCATTTCTGTTATCAATAAATTGACATGCCATAATCTTTTATCCTTATTTTATTTTTAACGAAATAATACGCCATACTGCACTGACTAACGAGGGAACGTCACCAAGCGTCCGATCGATTTTTCCTATAAATTTCTATAAAGATAGATAATTTTGGATCTTGACTTCGAATCTGGTATTTATTCTGACCCAAATGATCATTTAGAATGGAGCTTTGGAAAATTGGTCTCCTAAGACCTATCTTAAAATCTTAGATGGAGAGAGTGACTCTGCTTAACAATTTGAATTGACATGATCAAATACATCATTGTCATCAACATCCTCTGCATTACGGGTTATTTTATTAAATAATGAAACAACCAATATACAACAACGAACAATAGCAGAAATAACGGCATCAGCTACTACTGGAGCTGATGGTAAGCTTACTTTGTTTATTATTTCACTATGTCTATTGATTTAAAACTGTGTTTTAGCAGAGCTTTATCACTTTATTAGCAATTTTTTATTCTACATTTTTATGTTTAGATAACAGCAATAATATTGTCGATATTTCCCGTTTGTGTTATGATTATGTTCCAGAACATATGCTCTTCTGTCCTTTAATTTGACTTTATTGCTTCTGTTTACTTCAGATGACTTTGTGGATGAAATGAATGCATAAAATTCAAATAATAATAGTACACAATTGTCTATTACAGGTGTGTTCTACGTATGTTATATAGTACACGAACGAAAAACTGTAGCCCTTGATATCAGCCATAGCTAGATTATTTAAAGTTCAACTGAGAAACATAATGTAAAAAGGATAAAAATCAATCTTAACTTAGTGCCTCTTCTTGATAAAGTTGGGTTGCAAAGTTTATAATGCAAATTGTGGCCCTTTCGGTAAAACAACATGTTTTATCATTGTTTATTTTACTTTTATATTCAGCTCCAACTCAGATAAATACACCACCATTATTAAAATTCATCATTACCAACGCAGAATAATTCAGAAAGTCGATTACAAATAAGTCGAACTCAACCACAATCGTTATTATATCCATCAATAATTAAAAATACAAAGCAATTTTCAATGCAAGGTCGTCCACAAGAACTACTACCAGATCAACGAAGAGGCAAGATTGCTGCTTCAATTGATCCAAATATATTCTTATGCGAGTAGCATGAACTTGATTCAATTGTAATAACTCTGAGGATGTAGAATGTATATTAAAGCGACAGTGAATATAACGTGCATCGAATAATATTGGGATTTTTTAATAAAATTTTCTTAAAGCTGATGTTTCGAAATGTTAAATGAATCGTTTAAACAGATTCTATTTCAGCTCTTAATATAATTATTTTAATATTTTAATATTTAGTAGAAAAGAAGAAAGAAAAATTATTAACAAATAATGAACAAACAAGACCATCATCATCTTCATCATTATCACGACCAACTACTTCAACTATATCATTTGAATTCTCTAGAGGTTAGTGGCATTTCATATTGTTGATCGATTCTCAACAACAAAAGTAGCTACAGAACCTACGAAGAATTCATACATTTTTTTCTATTACAGATGAAAAAATTAATTTGTCAGACTCAAAAACAGATACTTTGATGAAGCATGTTGATAAATCATCAAGACAAATTAATTCATTAACAAATATTATAAAAGAACTAAATGGTCAAGTAAAAATTTTAAAAGAGGTTATAAACGTTTTACACAAGCATTCTAAATGAATATTTGGAATGATTTCTTTTTATATTAACTTTGTCTGCACGATACACACATGTTTGTATTAATTGTATTTAAGTTTCTTTTTTTAGAATTTGTTTATCCTTAATCGATTAATATGACAGCATCAACATCAAATGCTGATCAACACACAAAAAATGAACAACCAAAAGCATATGATACTAGTTTATTAGTAAGTAATTCATTTCTGTGCGCTTTGCGTTACTTAATGTTATATTTTAATAAATCCATTCAGTAGGCATTTGAACTTTTAATCATACGATAAGAAACAATGTAGTTAATTGCACATTTAAGGGATAGAATGTATCGTAGTAGCTAGGAAAATATTGAGCCCTGCATGTTGTTATTATCCGTCTACTGAAACACTTCGATAACATGTCATCCATCAGACGATTAAGTTTCAATTCCATCGTTTCTAACTTGTATATTTTTACCACTTCTCAAGTTATAGTTTCTTTAGAATAGCTGGATATGAAGAATTTGATATTGCTATTTTCTTTTTCAGGTACATAATAACATTGATTTATTGACATCCAAACATGAATTAACAACATTATCTTCATTTACAAGAAAATGTTGTATGTTTGTATATAATCGAAATGAAATATTACAAGGAATTCATCTAATCATTGGTGAACGTGTTTACGTATAATAATACGTAAGTTTGCAGTTTCGAGTATTAAGTATTTTTTTTTCATAAAAGAAAGTCTTATCCTTATTTAAAATAATTTATATTTTAAATATGTATGTCTTATTTATTAATGAAGCAAAAAGACAATTAAGAGTAGCTTTCATTCTGGAGAAGTTATGAAACAACGACACAATGATGATGATGTTAATGACGATGAAAAAGAAGTTTTATCAAATAACGATGACTATCGTGTTGTTGATTCATCATCCCTTGTTAACAATACAACATTCGATAATGAAGATGATACCGTATTCATGCAGACAACAGCCACAACAGTAATGAAACCGAAGTTGACGATTAAAATAATAATAACAAACGAATTACTTAATGATGGGATTTCTAACATCGAACTGTCAGGTGCTCTGAGATACGATCCCGAGCCTCATTGCCTAGAGGTTTTCTAGCATACTAAGTCCAATAGTTATTTTCGTTTTACTTGCTTTTGATTTTCTTAATGGAGTTCTGAAAAATCACATTTTGGGCATTAAAACTTCACAAAGCACTTTCATCAAGAAATTTGTATTGATTGAAACTTTGAATAACTAAGTGCATAGGATAAAGTGCATGTTTCTCTATTAGGAACAATATTTTTTAAGAAAAAGTCTTAATTTTTAATGGATTTTTAAAGAGTTTTTCCTGAAAATCTTGGATCTCTTAAAGAGATGACGGATGAACACTGCAACACAGTAGTATTTTTATTTTTGTATCTAACTAGGCTAACTATGAGTTTCAACGTATGAAACGTTACAGCTTCCAGAGCCTTTACTGTAGGAAGTTTTTTAGGGATACTCTAGAAAACATCAGAGATTAGCCATAAAGCACATAACTTATCAATAGTTCCCAATCTACTCATGACATGTGTTTTGACTATAGCCAAGTTAGATATAAAAATAAAAATACTACTGTGTTGCAGT